GACGCGAATCACGGTGTGCTCAATTTGTCAATTCTCAGGTGTTTTTTTCACTTCAAAATACGCATGGCTTACTCTTCTTGGATCTGCTTAAGGGAACTGGAAACAGTTAAACATATTATTCACAAGAAGGGGATTTAGGAGATTTAGGGGAAAAGCACTAAGCGGTCTTGAAGTTCGTCACTCAAAGCAGTAAGGACTTGTCATCTCCTCAGCACCACTTGTGTTGGCCAACGCCACGATCGACCGCACAGCTGCGACGTGGCGCAGCTCCTGCCACAAAGCAAATGAGAAAATACCAAAACTATCCAAAACTCAAGCCACCCTCCTTGTCTGACCGTTTCTTTCTACATTTAGGAAAAACACAGAGTAGCTTTGTTGTTACTAGTAGTAAGGCCAGGAGCCCCTAGTAGCGTCCGATCGCTCCGTTCGTAGCGATGCCTTTTGTTACGTTTGTAGCTTCCTGCTTCTAGTAGTCCTTCATGATCCTTCTTGTGTCCCCACGTCCAACCTGCAAACTGCCAGCGTCGAAGCCCAGAGGACGCCACGGCGCATCGAAGTACCAGCCTCCGTGGCGACTACGCGTTTTTTGAGGGCAAAAAACAACATAGAATCATAGGAAGCCAAGCACTTAATCAGACACCGGTGCTTAACCCTTACCGTATGAATCCCTACGTAGTGTGTCCACAGTGTTTGGGGGAAAACAGGGGCCTCTCAAAATAACCTCCCGTGGTAACCAACGTCCTCAACTTCCAACATCAATTCAGGGACTGAGATCCAAGAGACCCCACTCTTGACACCTGTGGACAGCCTTCCTGGTCTGGGTGCAACCCGGCAGCGGGTCTAAAACGGGCTGCAAATAATAGGCTGACCCAGGTTTTTTCCACCAAACATGAACAGTGATAGGCTACAAAAAGCATTATCAACCTAGCAAAGGAAAGGGATTCTGACCCACTGCGAGATCAAGGCAAAAAACACCTCTTAGTCTTGTGCCAACTCCAAAGATATTCAAACAGGGTTGTGACTGATACTGTCAGCAAGTGGTGACACTGAAATTGTGTGTGAAGTTGAGTGTCGCATGAAATTCCAGTCGTTGAACCCTTAAACTTTGGGCAGTGATACCTTACGGCCCCCACCTGTTCAGCTGCCATACATCACACATTGGAGTGCTATCCACCACTCTGGGATAGTTGGGCTATTGACTTCAATGGTATGCCACAGACCTGTGCAAAAGAAAAACAGACTGAAATGACCGATGTTCAGTCGAAGACTGATGAAACTTTATGGTACAAGCCCCCCTCTAGCAGCGCATGAAAAGGTGTGAGCCATGAGCATATGACCATTGAGGAACCACTCGTGCCAGGTTCAATATTCAGAGGATTCTCATCCGAGTTTGGAGGGGTGTAGCGTTCCGCTTTCTCTATCTCTCTGTATCTGTATCTCTCTCTCTCTTTCTTTCCTGCCAAGACAGCAAGATATTCGCTCTGACTCCTCTCTTTGACGCTTCCACGCACCGACGGCCCCACGGTCGATGGTCTCCAAGGAACGGCTCTGCAGGAACTGCACGTTGGAAGCTCTCTGCTGGAGCCTTGCGAACCAAACACGACCCATGGACTGTCAGAGTCTGACCGATCACTTTGGGGTGGTTGACCTGGGGTCATGGAGCATGGAGCATATGCCAGTCCCAAACAGCTCGTACGTCTCGCATGCCAGTCCATCGAGGCGAAACGTGGGAGGCGAAACCACAAACGCATGCCGGACACAGACCCTGATGTCAGACCCTCGAGGGTTCGAAGCGAGCTTGATGGTTGGAGGTCAAGCTATACCTACATGGAGGCCCACCCTGAACCACCCTGTCTCCAAAGGATCTGAATGATCTTTTGAGCCCTTGAGAGCTCGGAACTCGGCCTGTGGATGATCCGAAACGGTCACGGCTGGGTCTTCAACTCCCCAAGCAACGGCCCACCCTACACTTCGGACATCGGCTGTGGGTGAGTTAAGCCGGCAATCCCCAAATCAAAAGTGTTAAAAAGGTTGAAAAGACGTGATGAAAAAAGGCTGAATCAAACGCGTTTTTAAAGACTCTTCCAACCAGCTGGTGTGGACAACCTCGCAATACTGAGCCGACACAGCGGATTGCACATGAGTTGAACCATCCGAATATCTCCAAATGCATCTGATATCAATATAGGGAGCTTCTTAGAGTAGTAAGAATGCTCCGTTCGGTTTGTACGGCGCCCCGTTCGTCGCGCCCGATCACGAACGGACTCGTAGCGAGGCCCTTTGTTCCCTTCGTAGCCGTTCTCTTGTTCCGTTCGAAAGGGCCGAAGGACCTGTAGCGTTCGCTCACAAACCCGCCAAGGAGATCTAATGGATGAAGATGCTGGCGCCCTCCACTCCAGTCCTGATGCCCTCCACTTCAGCTCTGTCCACTTCACCGAGGCACTCCTCTTTGGCCCACACGTTCAGTGGATCCTCCTGTCCGAAACAAACGGCTCTCCCCACGGCGCGTTACGGTGAAAAAATCGTCGATCTGAGGCGAAAGGAGCCCCGTTGGTAGCGAACCTTGTTCCTAGTTGCAAGGCCAGTAACCCTTAGTAGCGTCCTTGCTACTAGTAGCGATGGCCTCCACCCTATACTTGCGATGGCCCACCGATTCCAAAGAGCCGAGGTCGGCGATTCTTTAAGTCTTGGAAGGCTGGGGCAGGGGCTAATTGAAGCACACCGAGTTTCTGCAATATGCACAGCACGTCACTACGTAGATTCCAAACGGTTCCAATCTCGGTGTTCTGACTCAGCCACGGTTGGTTGTGGGTATTCATATTAACTAATAAAACATATGATTTACCCTCCGATCTCACCAACATGGAAGTGGATGGCATGGCCTTTGGCGATATGTTCGTCTGGCATGGCAGGCTGGCTTCCTCTTCACATGTCGGTGAGCCAGAGTGTAACCAATTGAAACCAGGACCCCTTCTAGTGGACCTCGCCACCGCTCTTTTCCAGTTCTTCTTGGCTGCTTGGGATTTTTCCACCAGCTACTGTACCAGCTCCACCCATCTCCACCCAGCTCCACCCTCGTCATCCATTCCACTGCGGAACCACCAGTTCCGCCTCTTGCTCTGCCAAGGGCGTGGCCACAAAACGCCCTGGAGGCTGCAGCAGTGTGAAGCAACTCGCGCCTGAACGACCGACCGAGGCACAGCTGAAATCCCCTCCGTCCGCCATTGAGTTGACGAAACTGTGCAGGGTACAGGGTCGGTGCATGTTGCAACGCCTGGTTTTTCAGGAGGGTCATGCATCTTCCACATTATGCAAATGGCTGCATGAGGCTGAGATGTCACGAGATCCTCTGAAACAAACCGAGAACCAATCTTCTTTGGAACCTCCAAAGCTTGGGCTTGCTATCGCTGGCGTGGGCCACATGCGGCACCACGTGCGGCACCTTCCACCTTCTAGCCGACCGTAGCCTGACTGATCCCGACTGTATAAGCCTGCCAAATTTCCGGATGAGCAGTGTTTCAGTATTGTTTGTGTAGAATTGTGAAAACCAGTTGTTGCTTCTTCACACCGATGGTCAGAATCCATGCATCTACCACCTCCAGGCCCCAACCCTTTGTTCTTCCTGCCAACGCCAGCAGCAAGCCGCTGTGGCGAAGCCTCCGGTGGCATTCCACGCGTTGGTTTGAACGCGTGACAAGCACAAAAGAGCCGACAAAAGGAACAAAGGTGTTCTCAAATGTTCCAAAACGCGGCCATATTTATATATATATATATGCCTTTCTAACATGCCATCACAGGCCAATATGTTCTGAAGTGCTGCTTCACTCGCCCGCCTTGGATCGCCGCCAAATGCACGGAGCATGCCAGGAATCTGCATATAGCTTGAAGCAGCTTGGTAGGTTCCAAGTGACGCGATCCACTTCTGTGTGGCCAATGGAGGCTTTTCCCATAACTTTGATGCAGTATGATGCATCATCCGTGGCTGAACGTTTGAGGGTGGACTTCGACTGTTTTTCTTTCAGTCGCCTGAAGAACGTTCTGTCTCACTCGGCTTTTCACGTGGATGAGATGGGTGAAACTTGGGCAAAAGGAATCCTAAGTGATTGTAGAGCAAAAGAAGGTCCATTCATCTCCGGTCTGCTTGGAATCATGACATCTCATCTTAAATGATCTATGGATGAGTGCCAGTGGACAATAGGTGCTCCGGGGCGGTCTGTTGGTCTGTTTGCACGCCAAAACCCTCAGTTTGTGCAGCCGAATTGAGCCGTGCCACCGGGTGGTGGGTCTTTGAACATGTTGACCCCTAGCCACATCTTTCCAGTTCGTTGAAGAGATGAAGGCTGTATGCTCTACAGTGTGTGTAAGCAACACCAAGGAGCACCAATGAATCCTGGTGAAGTCCCATCACAAGCTTGTTTGCCTCTGCTTGCTCTTGAAGCGAAGATTGATTCCTTGCTTCCTGGCTCGATGTCAACACCACTCCTGGCATCTACAGCGGCCGTAAGCCAAAGGCACTGCGCAGCACGTCTTTCGGTGAGATTTCACTGGTTTCTCTAAGTTGCGACACGGACTTTATGACACAGCTGTGCCCGACAGTGGCTCGCAACCACACCAGCAAGAGGGGATCCTATCCCCCATCCGCCCAAAAGGCACGAGGCACGAGCGAGTCACCTCCACCGCCTTCACCACCTTGGGATGTGTACACGGATGCGTTCTCCAATGCTCTACTGTCGGCACCCCGTCGTCGAGCACCGGTTCCTCGAGCCACCGGGCCGCTGCGCCAGATCAGCCTCGGGATCATCGCGTTTCCGCGGGCGGTTCCGAGAACTCGTCGGTTTCCGGCGGCACCGAGACGAAGTGACTTGTATTGCCACCTACCTATATAATTTATATATGCAAAAAATGAAGAAATTACCTCAAAAACATGCTCACCCTATTCTTTAATGCCTTTGCGGAGGAAACACTTCGGTCGGGGGTCCCTTTCTTTTTTCTCTCTGCGGTGGATGAGGATTGTCATTCCTGCCTGTCACGTGTGAGCTGTTCAACGAAGGGAGGGAACCAAAACCGGGGCAAAAACATGGCGGTCGGGCCGTGGAAAGTAAAAACTGGAAGAACACTGTAGCCTGACTGTGAAAGGAACACCATCGTCCTGCTCAGAATTTGGAGGCTAAAAGCCCAAATCAGCCCAACAACTGTGGGCGGGAGGGGGATACAACTTCGAGCGACTTTGGTTACTCCGAGCGACTCTGCAGCTTGGAAGCCCAGAACTCTCCGGATCTCTGCTGGTTGTGAAGCTTTGACCCCCTTCTCTGTTCTTATTCTTCAAGGATGTGCAAGGTACCGCAGAAATCCATGGTCTCCACTGGTCTCCACCATCCAAACCCTTGGATTTGCTTGAGATTAGGAAACCTACCAAAAAACATATTCACCCAAAGGGAAAATTTACCCCAAAGGGAACAAGGAAAACCAGGACCCAGTAACAAAAAGCTACCAGTTAGTAGTTAAGCGCCTTACTAGTAGCTAGTAGCTACAGTAACCCAGTGCAGCTCCATCCCCAACCAGCTGGGGCCATCGAGCACTGGCACCCCGCTTGCCCAGGCCCAACCTAAGTCCAGAGCTGCAATGGGAATCACTCCGTTCGTAGCGTCGGATCGCGATGCCCGGTGCGTCGCGAGGCCGAGACCATTCGCTACGCGAAGCTGGTTCCGTTCGGTTCGTAAGGCCAGGAGCCCCGGAAGGTAGAGTCCTGGCTAGTAGTAATGCCCTTTGTTACTAGTAGCTTCTAGCTACTAGTAGTAATGACCTCCAACCTAGTAGCTTCTTGTTGAAGGAAGCGAGTCAACTGTCAGGTGTTCATCATTGATCCACAAGGAGAACAGCCCCAACATGTGTTGAATCGAATGATCTGCCAAAGCAATCTTCCAAGCCACCTATGAATTTGCTGTAGCCAATGGCTATCAGGCTATCAATTTGGAACGGGGGAAACCCCTCAACACTTGCACTGCGGCCCTGCGGCCGCCACTTCCCGCAGTCAACACGCACTTTTTGGATCTCTTCGACACGCACAGCGCCTCAGAGCTGGGTTCACTGCTGGTGTTGGATGGCCTTTGGAATCGGAATAATGGAAGAAACTACTGAGCAAAACTGGAGAAATGCCACACCCTTAGACAGGCTGGAGGAACAGGGTGAATAGGTGTGTCCATGCGATCATAGAATCATATACCCCATCGACAAGCCTTTGCGGTTCTGACCAGCTGTCTTGAGGACTGTGAAAAAGCCTTGGGAATCTCCACTTCGGCTTTCTTGATTCCGCTATTTTCAAAAGGAGTTCATGCTTAGTTAGGCCTCCCCTTTGAATTTGAACCCTTTTAGATACCAAACTCACACCAGGTGCTTCACGATCAATCTCATGCTGACCAACATCGCTGGTTCTGGTGAAGCAGTTCCATCTTGGACATCTCCAAACACCAGGAGGAAATGGTCTGAAAAGGGATGCAACAAACCACGGGCCTGGCCAGCTGAGGTTTCACTTCTCCGATGTGCCTTTTGTTCGTACCCGCTTTGGATCACATGTGAAAGCGAGCTACCATGCGTCCACGCAACGTAGGCGCTACGCATGTTTCTCATCCCTCAACTCTTCTACAGGGTGTCACGCCAGTGGCCAGAGCCCAATTCAATGGCCTCAAAGGGCACTCCAAAAAGTGCCATGACGAACGGTGTGGCCGAACAGGGCAGCAAATCACGGACTTCCGACGCGGACTTTTCTGTCAAAGAGGAGGATTTTTGTTCGACCAATCTGTGAGTCCCCAAACAGGCTGGCCCCTTTGTTCCCCCCAGGCTCATGCTACTTTTCCTGCTTTTTTTCTCTCCCATATCTTTGTTTCTTTCTCTTTTACGTGCTCCTCTTCAACTGTCCCAACACCCCCCAAACTCGAAGACTTTTACGGTGTCACCATGTCGGTTTCGTCCGAAACGCTCCCCTGCCCGGTCTGCCGGTCTGGCAACACGGCCGGTGCGGCCGGTTGAGCTGCGCCGTGGCATGTGAGAGGTCCAAATTGGCCTCACCTAGAGCGTCCTTGCTACTAGCAGTGATGCCAGGAGCCCCTAGTAGCGTCCTTGTTACTAGTAGTAGTGGCCTCCACCCTACTAGTGATGGCCTCCACCTAGTAGCTTCTTGCTACTATGTAGCACACTGACTACATTGGATGTCCTGCAAAATCCTGCAAGCACCGGTTACTTCATGGTGACAGTGTTGAATGCCAGGCATATTGGCACGTTTTCTCTTCGTTGCCGCCCTGGAACATTTACATGTGGGTCCGAAATCGAAGAACAAATCGGAGAACAAAAAACACTTGGCTGACCTTGGCTCCACACGCACATAAGCAAAATACACATGAATGGTTCGGCAGCACTCGGGAGCCACAGAACATGTTCACTCAGGTTTTGGGCCAGAATCTTCTGCTTCCATTCTTGCGACCACTTCAATTGATTACAGCTCTTCAATTGGAGGCTGGTGGCCAAAGCTGTGGTACGGCGAACAAATCCCAGCATAAGGAGATGCAAGGACTATATATATCAAACAAAGCCGCCTTGGATCTCCCAAACTCTACAATCCCTAGAGATTGCGCGTTTGCCCCTGGACCCCACCATGCCAGGCATCCTACCTGCAGCGAGCACCGCTATCTCTCGCCGCGAAAAGTGGTCACGCTGATCGACGCCGTGTCGCGGCCGTCTCTCTTGCTGCGGGACTCGGGTCCTTTCGATGCCCGCGGCAACGGCGCGTTGTGGCACGGCGCGACGCATGCCGTCTGCTGTCCGGCTGCCGGAAAAGTGGACTCGGACTGCGGTGCTTTTTCAGCGAATCGAGATGCTGTGGAGGATTTGATGAGGATGATTACCAGACTTGACTTAGGATGATATATATATGATATATCATTCTTGGGTCTATCCTAATACCTGTAACAGTGGATGATGATGGTTAGTAGACGCCTTGTTCAAAAAAGATTATAAATGTTTACTGACTGTTACAAATAATAGGACAGACCCTATATATCACAACCAATGGTAATAAACGCTATATGGACCAGCTATGTAGTGGAAGAGTCTTAGCTCCTGGCTCTTCAATGGGGAAAGGACAAAACCAGTATCTGAGCGAGCTGCGGAGCATGGTTGATCTGCAAAGAAAGATCCGTTTCTCCATGGCATCATGATCTGTGGCAATATTCCCCATACTGTCCCTAGCAAAGTTCTGCCAAAAAAACGTCGTTCTGAAGTGTAATTACCATCAGTGTCCCAGGTCGGTCTACAGGTCGACTTGACGAAAACGCGTTACAGAATTTTCCAACCACAATAGGCAAACTTCGCACATCTTCGCAGCAAAGCTTCGCACATCATCAACAAGTGTTACACTTTGACTGGCCCAAAAGCCCACTTTCGCATCACAGTGCAGAGTCCAGGTCACAAGCAACCAAGGATTCGCTGCTGGGACCGCTACGCTTTGGATCTTGGTTACCTCTACATGAGGAACTGACTTCCATAAAACATATCTGGATCCACCTCGACAAACAGTTTAACAGTTGGTCCCAGCGATGCCCTTCCTCTTTGAAAGATTTTGGCTTCGCCTCGAAGCACATTGACATGACATTCAACTCCATCCGAACGTCAACTCTTGGCTCGACCACTTCAACCTGCTGCTTGACCAACGAACACGCGTACAGATGCGGGGAAAATACAGCCAATGACCACATCTTTGTGAGAATGGTGGTTCGCCCGGAATGCATGTGGGATCGCCCAGAATGCAACGCGTCGTTTTCAGATTTCCCATCGTGACATTCTTTGGTCCATCGATGCCCTCAACTGGCG